ATACTTCACGCCAACACCGGCCCCAGCAAGAGTACGGCAGTAACTTTACATAGCACAGAATCGTCATTAAATTATTCAGTGGCACACAAAAATGTAACACTTTGCACTTCTGTAGCGCTGGCTACGTGCAAATTGCCTTTGACAACTCATTCCATAAGCTGGAAAGTTTGGAACCGCAACAGTAAGGCGAACGAGTCAGGGAATATGCACTGTGCAGGCAGCCAAGTCACTGCTCTGTTCTCACTCTGCGCTTGTTAAGGATGACCCAGGATACACCCATGGACAGGGCTGATGAAAGGACCGAGGAGTGGAGCAGCGTGGTGAAGGCTGAATTTGAGAGAGCTTTAAGAGCACTGTATCCTGAGACACGCAGACAAACAACAACTCTTTCCACCCATGTTTCTGGTGGCTATGATACTCTCAAGTTGTCCACATCGTGCTTAAAATGTGTTGACAGTTGAGTTCACAGCATGTTCCAGCTGAGGCAACCTACCAGCATGGGTGTAAGGGTCTACGGCGTGGACAACTGAGCAAGTCTGGTCTTGAGAATGGTGTTAGTTTAACTGACCACGCAGTCATATTTACAGAGAAACGTGCAATCTCAGGATCTCTTTGGTGACTTCCAGGATCCAGAAACAACAGTATTTTTGATGGACTTAATGATTACTGAGATGCCTTCTATATGTTGCTGGCAATATCACGTGCTGCTGCGGGAGGGAGGGCTGGAGTTCATTAGGTTGCATGTGCCTCACTGCCAGATTTTGTCAGAGGGCAGACACATCCATTTCCCCCATCCTTTACTGATACCTCTGGTTTAAGACAGAGGGGAAACTGTACAGGCTACCAACTCGCAGCATCAGGGTACTGTAGGTCTGCAACAGCTGAATTACCCTCCAAAGGGCGTTTGTTCACAGGCACAGTGGAAATGCTTGGCTTGCAGTCCCAAGAGCAGGCTAAATCAACGCCCATTTTGGCTCACGTAAGGAAGAAAAAAACGAGACGCAACAGATCAGCGGTACCGCCCAAACCAGAACCCTCAAATTAGGACCCACTTCCTGGTGCCAAGCGCTACGAGGAACAGACCCAAGGCCCTTTTGACAGAAACTCCTCTTCTGGGTGCACGAAACCAGACAGAGGAAATCCCGTGCCCATTTGCGCTGCTTGCGCTGTTGCTATGTCAGTAGACATGAGTTGCAATATAAAAGACAATGATGTTCCACGGTTTTGTGCCTTCGCTAAGATTGTCTTTCCAGCTCAAATGTAAAGTGGACAGTGGTGTTTGTGTGTGAACAATATCCTCTTCCAATCTGATGTGCAACTGTAACAATCTTATGCTTTGTTTTGTTTAAGGGAAAATCTTTTAGGACTTCAAACACAATCAACATATAAAGACCTCAGAAAAGAGACATGACATGTACACGTTTTTGTGAGCCCATGGACAAAAGAAAAGAAAAGAAAAGAAGAAAAAAAAGGGGAAAAAAAGAAAAAGAAACGGGATAAAACATTGCTTCCAGCAGTGATTGTGTAGAGCTGTTTTAAGTCAACTTAGTCCCTGACTTACCAGGAGTTCCTATTTAACAGGATGCAAAAACTACGGTTAAAAATGGAAAAGGATCTAGTGGTGAAGATCCTGGTTTTAACTATTCACCACTTACAGACCTTTAACTGAAGCAGATTGTGTGCGTGTGTGCGTGCGTGCCTCTGTGCGTGTGCGCGCGCGTGTGCGTGTGAACAGTATGGAGCAGGAGTAAGTGACGGGAGGGAAAGGACAATGAAAGTGAGCTTGTTCTTAAGTGTGAAGAAGATATGACTTTCCTATTAAGTACTTCTAATGTATCTCTTTTTGTAAGGATTTTTTGGTCAGAAATAAAAACAAAGAGGAGATAATAACAATTTCCCCAAATTGTTAGACAAACGCAGGAGAGCCTGACTTTTGCACCTCGTGCAGCCTCTAGCAGTCTGTTAGTCCTTAAACAAATTATAGGCTTAACATATACTTAATAATATTTAGTTAACAGTAACAAAAAAATACCTTTTTGCTCTTAGAAAGGTTCATCCATCTCAGTATACTTTGATGAACACCCCTGGGAATTCAACTACATGGAAACTTTTTCCAGCCAAATGAAGACATCAGCAACGAATCAAACTCCACACCCTACTCAGCAAAAAAGAAAAGAACATCGAAACAATGTTGTACCAATTCCAGGTGGACATTGCTGAACAATTAGTAATTTCTTTTTCCACTTTGTCTTTAGAAAAGGAACTCTGCCATTGCATACAACATTTTCTGAAAGTGGGGAAATGCAACCGTTACAGCAGCTACAGCTACAGCACGCAGTGCAGTGTAAGTTACTGTGCGTGCTCGACAGCAACAAAAATGGCATGAATGAATAGAATAACAATAAAAATATTCTTATAAATCTTTAATAAAGTTTCAGAGACAAAACATGTTGGTGCACACGGTGCATATGCAACCCAGTGGAGGATTAGGGATGAGCAGAGAACATGTACAAATACATACTCTGTATAAGTTGCTAATTCACTGTTGTAGAAGACATCTATTTTTCATGTTGTACTAGCAAAGACCCAAACTATGAACAACTAATTCAGACAAACTTTGACTCAAAACAAGATCCACGCACACTTGTGCATTCAAATTAAAACACATGCTTATTGCTAAACAGTGCTAAGCAACAGAGATGCTTCTTTCTTTTCTGGAGAGATTGGAGGGAAAACATCCCAGACTATCTGTTGGTGGCGTTTTCCATTGTTTCATAATGCGTCTCTCATTCTCCTCCTTTTTCCTACGGACTGACTAAGTGCCAATTTTTAACTGTGGTAAATGTAGCATAAAGTGTGCAAATCACTTGTATGAGCTGAGGAAGTTGAATCCTGCCTCAGAAGGCACAAATCCGCCATCTGCAGATTGATGTACATGTCAAAAGGTCTTTTGGTCCAATACTTTCCACAACCAATATTAGCAATCTGTCTGCGCAAGGGAAAAATCTGTAATGAAGCTATAGTGCTTTAAGTCAAATATTTCATGCAGGTAGCCAATATTATTTAAAATTAAATATCTAATCAGAGAGATTTAATGCTGGTTTTATGGTTGAGTGATAACTATGAACTCAGGGAAAAATGTTAATAAAAACATGTGAAAAAAGGGCGGGGGGGACCTACATATTTTGAGAAATGAGACTAGATTCTCCAAGCCCTGAATACTGATTTATACCTGTACAAGGTATGAGCACACCAAATCTAATTCTCCATTCAATTTCCTTGGTGACAGCATTTTTCACCTCATTTCAGTATCTCTTACCCACATATAGGATGCTATGAATAACCAGATGTGTAAGGAGCGTATCAGACTGTTTCCTCTGGTTGAATTGAGGTGAGAGGATGTGGGGAAAATCTAGGCCAAGAGACACACGGAGCAAAGGGGGAGCTCACTGCCCTTATTTTAGTCCTTCAAAGAAACCAACTTGTAGCTTCTCCACCTACAAGAACCATGAAAGGACGCATGAAGGACTAATCTAGGTGGCACATATGCCTCTACACACAGGGTGTCTCTACATTAGCAACTAGCGTGGACCAATAAGAACAGATATATAGATCAAAATATTTGAGGGACATGATATCTTTACCAGACACATTTAGGTTTTTTTTTTTTTCCCCTTTGAACTAGCTCCAGTCCAATTCCACAGACTGAATACCACTTTGTGCTGGAACACATCTCCCAAATTCAGTTCGTCCAACAGGAACGCAGTTTGTGAGCGCCAAGATGTGATGCATGGTAGAAGTAGGGAGAACTGGAAGAGGAGCTTTGAAAGTGCTTGTCTGATATGAACTAAAACAATTTCCAAATGAAGCTTACCATAAATTTCGTTAGAGAAAGTTACTGTAGAGGAGGATCACACCTCTGACCAGACATCATTAAAAACAGGTCTCTCTTATTTTCATAAAAATGAAAATTCCCAATCATTTTGGGTTAAACTAGGCTGCTACCAGGAATTCAGGGGCACCTGGCTGCTGAAGGGGTGACAACGTGATAGCACACACATCTCCTGTCAACAAGAGAAGGGAATGCACACCGAGTCCAGCTTCCTACCGTAGACAGCTGAGCTCCCCCTCCTTTTCTAGCTTCATCTCTGACTGAGTCAGCAAGATTTTTTGAAATTTTTTTGCTGTCACAGTGAAGGTGTCATCTCATCTGGCAGCTGTTCTTAATCTGACAGTTCTTTAGCCACGAGAATTTGATAATCAGAAGTTTATCCAAGAATAAGTCTTTTATAAACTTCAGTTCTGTATGGTGCCAGCGACCAGAGAGCCTTTGAATCTCAAGGGCTGGATTAGAGTATCCTATTATCTCAAAATCCAGTTTTGGTTCCCTTGCATCGAAAAGTACTTACACATACAATTCGTTACCTTAAAGGGGCATTAGTAAGGAGGGGCTGCAGAAGCAGGGCCTTCAGACAGCACTAAGAAAAACAGCAGGGAGAACTGCAGTGATTTCTGTCTTATAGCACCTTATCACAGAAGCTGTAATCGCTGCTGGTGTGACTATCTGTACAGTATTTAAGGTTATGAGTGAATCCTTTCCTCTGATGGCACTTTTAACATGTCAATACTTCCAATACAAAGCACACTGAGAAGTTTTTAAGACAAAAGAAGGCTAACCAGCCAACAAAAGTGATCTTCTCCATCCCAAGGTATGAAACAGCATCTTAATTCCGACTATATTAGATTCCCTAATGAAAGGATGGACCTTCAGCAAGGCTGGATTAATATAAAAGTGTGTATAATTCAGGTATCTTGATTCTATTTGTCCACTTCTACTGTGTTCCTTGAGAATCAGTTATGAGCCCTTTGCTGGCTTGAGACATTTTATATTAGATTGGAGATATTACACACAGCATACTACTTTGCTTAAGTCCATCTCTAGTTCCAATTTCTTTCTGTAAATGGAAAAAAATTGGCAAAAAGAGTCTTGCAAGCCATGCAACAGTTTTTGATTTTTTTTTTATTTGTGGCACTAACAGACATCGGTATTTTACAATATATAATACACAGACATATTAAATGCAGATGGCTAAATATTCTCTTGCTTTCAACTTCACATAGCTGTATTTTTTTTAAATTTTAGCTCCAAAAAAACCCCTACCTCCACTCTGGTCTGCGATTATAAAAAGGTAAATGTACAAACTTCCTCTTCTTCGGTTTCATTATGATATAGGAAATGTGAAAAAGCATTTTGATCTGTCCTTTTTAAGTTAATCATTTCAATTTAATACAATATTTTCAAAATATGTACAACCACAACTACCAAAGTAGTTAACCATTTGAAAAAGAGGCTGCTATAAATCCTTGTGAGACAACATACAACAGCCGTGCGAATCGGAAACAAAGGGCCCACTTGTGCATGACCTGACCAAGTAACAAAGTCCTGGCTGCAGATGTAAACCACCTCGACTTCCTTTCGCAGTGCAGGAATGAGTTTGAAATCTTGGACCACCACACAGTCCTCTACTTATACCCTTCACAGTTGCAAAGAGAGATCCCTTACCATGTCTCAATATTTTTCAAGTGCCACGAATGTTACCAGGGTTCAGTATATCTCTGCATATTAGTATTCTATACGTCATACCCCATAAGTAACTTTTCAACAGACACAGTGTCTCATATTCATTATTTGATTGCCTGCTTTCCTCAGAGCTGCACCAGAGATAGAAAGTTCCCCTAATTATAAAAAAACAATGACTCCAGCATATGGCAATTGAGGTCTTTCAGAATATACCATAACTTTTCTCTTGTGATTAACTTGTATAGAACTTTACTCTGTTTTTTTCCCCCTTATTGCTTATAGCTCTTTTCCAAATCAAATAAGAAGCGAGAAAATAGTTTGAAACAGTTACGTGTTTTTAACAACTTGAAATGAATATTACTTTTCAGATAGCTAGCAAAAGTCTTTGAATTTTGCCCATAACACAATTAAGTATTAACACAGGACTGCACAGTGTTTATACTCTTATTAACCTGCCAACAAGAATAGTTTATTGGCAACCTTAAATATTCAGAGGCAAAACACAATTCCTTGGCACAGAAGCTTTACAGCACAGCAACATATTTTTCCCTTAGAACCATTATGCAGGAACACAGAAAATTAACTACAACTTATTTTGGCTGGTAGACAAGAGAATAAACTAAACTTTGTGATGTTTTTTTGCCACTTCAGACCTTGAATGATGATTATGGGTGCATATGGGGTTACATTTTCCAATTACCTGTTCTTTATACACAATTCAAACGAGCAGAGGGACCTATAACAAAGAAAAGCACATGATCATTCAAGATATTTTTAAACCTTCAACTGCTGACACTGTAAACTAAACATTCGCCTTTGGGGCTGTCTGCAAGCTTAGTCTCTTCATCAGTTCTTTAAGACTTAAAGCTTATCTGTTTTTTTTTCCAGCTCTATCAGTTGTTCTAGTGAAAGGTAATATCCTTCCCTAATAATCGCACCCCTCATACATCCTTAGATCATTACGGCTGCAGTAACTTTATTACTAGAACGTAGGCAGTATATTTTTCTGTGAATGTCCTTCACTCTGTGGACGGAACACAAAGCCTGGCTGTGAGGATGTAATACCTGACAGTCAAAATCGGTTCAATATTGGTTAGCTGTCACTGGTCATATAAATCAATTGATGGGTACTTTGCTTCCTGACTGAATGAAGAAAACTCCCATAGCCTTTGATTCAGGAAAATACTTAAACTCGTCTTCAGTTCATCTAAGCATATGCTTAACTGTAAATACATATGCTAGGGTGTTCTTCTAAAATCAAAGACACTGAGCTTTGATTCTATCAGAGAGACACACAATAAGGGCACCACAAAAGCTAAACGGGATCAATGTGTTTGATCAAGTTTAAACTTCTCCATTTTGGCCTTCATATCCATGGCAGAAGCTGCAGTCTTAGAGAAGAAATAGGTCGCTGTACAAATCATTAGCAGGGTGAAGAGCTCAAATTAAATTTTATCTTTCAGTTCAAATGGAGTAACAGCATGCAAATGACTACCTTTCACTGTGCATGGGAACTAAAATCACTTTCTGGGCTCATTTGACTACCTGTATATCCAGCTTGGCCGATCTTTTAGTGGGGCCTCCTTTCCCTCCTTCCAGCATACCAGTGCCAACACCAACTGTGGCTCTGGTCTGTAATTTCTGTCATTGCACCTACAAACATGCATGATAAGAAACAGTGTTTCTTCATTCACGATTATACATCCCTGATTATATGAGAAGAGTGGTCCACTGCTTGACGTAAAGGCACAGAACTCAGCCATGATCCCTAGAAGACACTGAACACGTCGTAATTCAGATCGATGCATCACTTGTTAGCAACCAGCTTTGAATTATCCCAGCATGTACCAGGGATTCATCGTAACGAGTGCAGCAATTAACTTACCTGGCTCCTTTAATTGCCAACAGGATGATATACTGCATGTATCAAAGAGTTCATGTGACTAAATGCTGAACACTGGAATGAATGCTTGTGGATACTGTGATGGAGCCAAATTAATTTTAAAAATCACAGTAAGTAAACATAAAAAGACTGCTTAGATGTGTCCATCTCTAATCTTAACCGGAAAACATCTACATCTCTAGAGTCTCTCTTGCACATGTGGTCTACAGAAATTATTTTTCCATGAGCAAAAGTTTGTTTTTTTAGATATGCAACCTACCTTCCCCACCTTGTGCGGGCACATTACCATCCCTGGGATGCAAATCCCTGGGTACAACTCCACTTAAGATGAGTAGATGGCATATAAGCAAAGGCAACTTTTATAGCTTCTCTTGGTTGGGTAAGATTTTCAATCCTGCATGGGCTTGTGCTGCAACTATACCTACAGCTAGACATCTAACGGGTTATTTACATGTGTAGTTATGTTTTTTTCCACAGACAATCACAGTAAATCCCAAGGCAAGTTACACAGACACAAAAATACACGTGCAATGGTATACGCAGAATTTCAGAAATCTAGCTGGATTCTTCTGCATTTTCAGAGATAGAAATAAAAAGTTTAAAAACTAAAAGAAATGAGTATATGAAATTGTGACAAAAGTTGCTCGATACAATTGAAATGAAACGTTAGATCACTCGTTAACTCAAGAAGCTCAAGTGATACAACTCTATGACTTGAGTTTTGTTCACTAAAACTAGCCTAAAAGTTGGTCTTGGATCAGCTCTTTGTTTCCCAGATGAAGTGATTATCCTTTGTACAGAAGGCAGACAGCGTGGCTGGGAAGCAGATGCCTCACAAGTGACCTGTGCTCATTTCTGAAGCCAGTCAACCACTGAAGGCATTAGGGTAGCCATCCTGGTGGCTTCACTTGACAACATCTCTAACTTGCTGTTATACTTTGGACATGTTAAACATGTTCCAGGTTCCTGATCAGCCATTTTGAGAAGAAAAAGGACTATTTCCTATGTATTCTAAGGTCTTTTCCAGTTCAGTAAGACCATCATCTTGCAGTAACAGCCTGTGCCTCCATTCCCTTGGGGTAGGATCCGTAACTAAACCACCTTCTGGCAGGTCTCTGGACTGCACTGCACTGGAGATGAACCATGTTACTGAGCAGGCCCAACTGGGCTTGGCACCCACAAGAATTTTCCTTCGGGAGTCTGTGGACAGCAACAGCATGCAATAAAACAGAAGCTGTTTCTTCAAAACAAAGTGTGATTTATTTGCCAAAACAGGCACAGCACTCCAAGAAATGGATTAAAGAGCAGCCAGAAGTCCTATGCACATACTGTCTTACCTATACTTGGCATTTCCCTCACATACGTATTTTTGCTCTGGTTTGTTTGAGGTGACCCAATTACAGCCTTTCTGGTGCAGACCCGGACTCTCAGCAAGGCTGGGTCAGCCTGCAGCAACTTCTCTCCTCCCTTCCTGCACAGTGGATCTTTTAACCTTAAAGTTCATGACTTTAGCAAACAGCTGTGTAATCAGGGGTGGAGTGGAGGAGTTGCCTTTTCACAGATATTAATAGAGCCCAAATGTTTGTTGGGATGCTCCTTATCTAGGCAATTGGTTGCTTTTCACGTTTGGTTCCCCTGACAGCCCTGTTTGATCTACTTCCATTGCAAATATTCCCTCATAAATAAGCACAAACTGAGTCATACATAACTAAGTAATGCAGATCTTTCCCAGTTCTCCACAATATTAGCTAACTAAATTACTTCACTACCAGAAGCCCTTGTTCCAGAAAACTCCAGAAGACAATGGAGGAGAAAAACACGCAATTAGAAAGGCTTCATTATCTAGTCTGCTATCTAGTTGTTGCAACCAAAATCTAATAGGTAGCCTAGTCAAAAAATGGCTCTGTGCTCACACCTCCAAATCAGGACATCATGGATCTTTGACAGAGGAAGCAAAATAAAGAAAACATTGCTTTGGCCCTGGCACAAAACCACATGCCAGCCACTGCCTACCAAAAACTCAGTACTCCTTGCAGACATTTTCTGCAGCTGTGAAGGAAGAAAACCCTGATATGCAGATACCATATATTCTCCTCTACCAAGTCAACTTTTGCTGTCACAAGGTGTCCAACTGCAGGAAAAGATCAGAAATTGGCTCTCATTTAACACAGCAAGCTAGGAGAGATATTATTATACACTGGACAGAAACTCCGAGAAATCTGACAACATTTTTACTTTTACCAGTGATCAAAGGCATGGGATCTCAGATGTCAGAATGATATGATGCCTTTGGCATACACAAGACTTAGCTTGCATATCCAGTATAATGAAGGACAGCACAATAATAGGAACAACTTGCTCTGTCTTTGGACAAAATGCCGCTCTCTTTTATTTTCATAAAAAATATGCAAGAAAAGATGCACTCTTTTGTCATGTCAATGTCAGATCTACTGAAAATTACTCTGTTTTGAAAAGGAAAGAAGACAGGCACCGCATTTAGCAGAATATACCAGTATATCAAGTTCACTTTCATGGACTGTAATGGCTATCCAACTGTTTCAAAATCAGCCCCCAAGGATGTGATAAAGACTTGTTTTAATGAGTAAAGCTGCGGGTCCCCTCAGAAACTTCTGCGACAGTAATGCAGTTGGAAGAGCAAGGTTCACACAAATCTGGAATTTGAAAAGATCTAGAAAACAAAGAACTGCATGGGGTATTCCTGCATGTGCAAATCCACTTTTTTTCTGTAAACTCGGGAAGCTGAGAAAGAAAACCTGATCTAGAGTGTTATTTCTTCATAAGTTATAGTCTGCTGTTGGTACATATAATATAGACTCATTTTTTCACATGCACCACAACAGCACATCCTGATTTTCCTTTCCATGCTGATGGAAATTCTCCGAAAAACTGACTTGTCTGTGCAATTGGTAATGATGCTGTGGATCTTCTGGTTTACCAGAAATAAGATTTTTTTAGTTATTTTTTTATTTGAAATCGGTAATATATTTTGAATTGTTTTAAAGAGGACAAGCAAGCAAGGTTAAAGCCTATTTACACATTAATGGTTGGCATCAGCTAAACCACGTGTTGGGAAAATTCCATCTGTTCTTGTACCTTCCCTGAAGTCCCTGGATCAAAGTCCATTCTTAGATACTGCAGTGTAATGTTAGGATGACGCCACTGAGGCAAATTGGTTGGTTCTCTTTACCCAGAAATGAGGTCTAACTCAAGGTTAGGAAGAGCAGTCTTGCTCAAAAAGTTAAATGCACTTACTCCAAAAATCAACACGGACAACTGCATAAGAATGGTATTTAGCCATCTGGGAGTTGGCTTACCCAGGACTGACCAAAATAATGAAGCACAGATCATTCAGTGGATCAAGTTCAGGTAGACATTAAAAGGATTCTACAGTTTTACTGAATGCGCCACCTAAACATAAGTGTTGGGAATCAAAGTTTACGACACACTACTGAAATTAGGAGAGAGTATTTATGTCTAAACTTGCTTCAGGTTTGTGGAAGCAGGAAAATGAAACGGCTAAGAGAACGATGGGTCTCCTATCTGACCTTTCCTAGGTTCACCTCGTCTAAAGGACATCCAGTATTATCTAAGGTTCATGGGAATGGCAAAGGACATGAAAAAGCTTTCTGAAATGATATTCACGCTCTTTTAAAAGACATAGGTACTGACATATTCTTGTGGTTGCATATATGCACAGGCATGTTTTAGCCTTCTAAAAGAAGAGAAGCATCTTTGCAAAAAATGCAAAGGCTTGATAGACGCTCCTGATCTTGGATTCATCTCAAGAAAACACAGCACGCACACCTTCTCATGGTGACAGAAAGAGAAGACGTGTGGCTAAGATAGCTTACAGACAGCTCCCAGAGCAGCACAGCAAGCTCAGGTTATTTCTTCCAAAAGGCTGAAGATATAAAAGTATGTTTACCTTTTTTAACTTTGCTGCTCCCACACCAGAGCGAATGGCCTCCATTAGGGCTTGCCTTGCCTCCGCAGGGTCAGCTGCAGCAGGGACAGAGGATTTTGGAGCTACCGCTGACAGGGGAGCAGGAGGAGGCGGTGGCTGCGTGGGGGGCGGTGGGATACAAAGCCGGTCTTCCTGAGGGTCTTCTGCTTTTTGCAAGAACAGTTCTGCATTCCTAAAACTCTGCAGCTCTTCGGAGGCCACTGAGGAGATCTGTTCATGATGCAGTTGAAAGGAGATGATTAATATCAAGCATGACTAAACCGCAATTATTTGACATTTGATGCACTTTAACTTCAGTACCCCTATTTCACTCTGCTTGAATGATACAAAGCACGTAGAACTTTTGTTTGCTCATAGGGTTGAACATCCGTTCCTACGTACTCACATCACTCAGCTGGGCTGATTACCAGCATCAAGGATTTGGCATTGACTCTGTCTCAGAAACTCAGTCTCTATTTACTGTGAGCTCCAGCATCCTGTAACTCTTCTTGACATGTAAGGTAACAGACAGAGGGCTGGATTTGGTATTCATTTGGGAACGACCACAGAGGTTTTTGGCATCAGGAAGATGTATTAAATCTAAAGTTTCCAGCCATACTAAAAAGAAACAGGAGCAGAGAGAACTATGTGAAACTATACAGCAAAAAAACAATTGGTTGCTCTTACAAGAGGGTTTTCCATGGAATTTCTGAACCTCAAATTTCTGCATGAAACTTATGTGGAAATTCATTTTTGTTTAAAGGAAGGCAGGAGGAGGAGGTAATCTTTCAGACTAAGCCAGATTTACCTTCAATTGCCTCAACAAATCTTTTTGTTGTTAACAATACTATTAGCAATAACAATGATAAAGTCTTAGTAATTAAACCATTTGGAAAGTATTAGGAAATTCAGTATAATGTGGCAAATGGGAAGTTTACCAGTAAATGCACTATCATTTCTTTTTCAGGGAAACTGAGGCACAATACTTCTCTAATGAAAAATGAAAGGATTCAGTCTCTCAAACTCAGAGAGCTCCTACATTCTTTTCCCTCACTGTATATACAAATATATGGGAATAAAGTCATGTCAGATGAGATATGAACAGCTGAGATGACATTAAAGGAACAGCCCTTCCATCACAGCACATCTATATCCAGCCCTGTACATATATCCTGCACCCTGTAAATATGGTGCTTTAACTAGCACAGGTGACATGATGAGAAAAAGAAACATACGGTTTCTAAGCAACTTCCTTTAAAACGGTTCTAAAAGCTTCTCTGCTGGAGAAAAGTATTTCAGAAAGTCTCTGTGATAAAACAACAACGCTTCACACTCTCAGAGCCTCTTTTATACAGATTTACATTTATGCCAAATGAATACAAAATGCAATTAAGTACGCGTGAAGATGGCTGTGGCACATCCTTGATCAAGGATGATCCGTATTTACTGCCTCTAGCAGCACATTCCACTCTTGGGCTCAGAGAAAGCTGTACCCTACCTGCAGCGGGGGCAGCGAGATATTCAGAACGGCTTTGAGGGAAGGAATAATTCCCTAACACAGAAAAGGGACACTTTCTAACTCGTGCCAGCTATCTGGATGAGTTAACGGCCTGAGTCATTGCATGAGGGAAATGGGGGACTGCTTGCCAAATACACATCCTTGGCTTCATTAGTGAACTGAGGGAAAGCTAAGGCTAGAACAATGCAGGCTTTGGCTATTAGGAATAGGAGATGCTTTAAGGGTTAGGTCAATCCTTTGGACAGAAAGAATCATCCTGCTGCAGTGGAAGAGAGTTTGAGAGCTTCCATCAACGTCAATTCCTTGCATACAATTTGCACGCACCTAACTCATGAAGCGTTCATGAAGAAGTCTTAATGTGTTTTTAGGTAAACAGGATTGGACGTATACAGTAGATAATGCAAATATATTAATCTAACTGCATACTCTTCAAATGCAAAATCCAACACCTAAATACGTGAAAATGATGAACATTTGGTGTCTTTCATGTACATTCTCTTAAACTCATTTGGATTTCTACACGATTCTTTCTCAGCATATAATTTCAGAGAGAGTAACTTTTGTAGCAGAGGACAGAACCTGACCCACTATATTATCTGCATAAGTTGGATCTGGTCTTATATCATAATATTTTCCCCTAAGTTTTTCTCTCTGCAGCACAACTTCACTTTGCATCATTTCCAGGTTTATCCAAAACTTTCAGTAGGAACAGACTGCACTTAGGTGATCACCGATCATCTTTATTTCTTACCTTTTTCAGCCTTGAAGTGCCACTGTGGCCTCTGATTGCTGCCAGTAGGGCTGAGCGTTCATTCTCTGGCTCAGCATACGAGGGTTTCTTGTGATTTCCATTTAATGCACTCTCTGAAATCTAGAATATGAAAACAATAAACCCTTTTAGGTATTTACCTATTTAGATATTTAGATTTTATTTTTTTGGAAACACTACCAAAAACATGTTTAGTGCTTGTACCAGAATGCAAGCTATGGAGTCTGTCTTCTTTCAGGCCTGCTTTTACAACCCTTCTTCACACTGCCTGGTAAGGATTTATGTAGATTCCAGTTAGTAACGCTGTATGTACAGATGCAGTCTCATATCCCCAAGCATTAGCAATGAATTAATATCACCTAGTAACGCAAAACGCAGTTTTCTTTCCTTTACTGATATTTACAAGTTTTCTGCACACAGCGTGTTCCTGTTTTTACATAACCTAGAGAAATGTGGGTTAGGCTCTTCGGCTAACCTCAATTACCTCTCCTTTAAGCTGTCTCTGTGCACCCTCTGCCTCTCCTAGCTAGTGCAGCAGCAATAGCATTACATAACGTACAGGACATGCAGCATAACAACCAGTGACTTGGTCTGCATTTTGCCATTATACATTTTTCAAATGCCATGAGTACTCCAGCTCACCAGCAGCTGGACCGATTATAACACAGCTGGTGTCTGATAGTGCGAGTACATGCTTCTGCAGGCTGAACAGGCTGAATGAAGCCTCCACTTTACCTTTCTGAGTTTCTCCTTCCCCCCTCCTGTTTGGATGGCTTCCATCAGGGCACTGTGCAGGGACGTATCTTTCGGGATTGGTTTCTGGACCACTGGTCTGAACTTCTTCTTTGGTCCAAAGATGTTGGTCTGCACATTAACGTCCAGCTCATTGATAGTGTTAGTAACCAAATCATCGTCCTTGTCCTCCCGTTCTGACTCCATGTGATTGTTTGCAGTAGCACCATTTAACTCAGGCGATGCTTTAAAACAACTAGCTTGTACGCTGCTAGCGGGAGGCCATTTACTGGCTCGCAAAGATGAGCTGGAAAAGGGTGGGATGACCTGGAGATCAGGTGACTTGAGAGATGGGGCTGAATTAGTATGGTTCGAAGTCTCACACTTCTGGTCAAACAAAAGATGCATCTTTTTCTCTACTATACTTTGTTTGCTGTTTAAACTGTGATCATCTTCTGCAGTGCTGTTATCCTTTGAAGAGGATTTAGTAAGTGGGACACTGGCGTTCTTTTTATAGAAACTAGGAGGAGTTGCTTGATTTGGTGCCCTGATGTTCACTATTTTGTTTTCCACTCCAGAATTATCACCAGGTGTAAACCTGTGGGATGCTTTTAAACTGGAAGTAAAAATATTTGACGGTGGTTCTCTTAGTTCTGCTGAATCTGTTTCCACAGGGCTGTATTTGGCCACAATAATACATCTTTTTGGGAAAAGTTCTCCTTCAGTTTTAACCTCTCCTGCCCCATGCTTATTTTCCTCTTTCTCATGATATTCTGTGGAGTCAGACTTAAAGCTAGGTAGGTTGATGTGTTTTGCAATGGCAGAGGCAACGTATTGACTTGAAGTTCTCCTATGCGGCTTTGGAAACGGAAGCTCAACCTTGTCCTTATTAATGGTTGAGGCCACTAATGGTTTTACCTGAGACTGCGTGACTGGAAGAGGTGGCTTGGTCTTTTCATTCTCAAACTGTCTTTCAGCTACCTGGGAAGTAACAGTTTGTGGTGCTACAGGTTTTGGAGCTACAAGACAGACAGGTTTGTGTTCATGCTTTATAGCAAAGGATTTAGAGGTTGTGGTGACTGCTGACTTTTTAAGAAGATGCTCAGTGGAGTCATCACTTTGCTTTTCCATAGAATTTGACCTCCAGAACGCCTTTATTTTCCCTAAAGGAATTTCCTCACTTTCACCAGTAGTAGTACCTGATATGTTCTTAGTGCCACCAGCATTCGGGCTTATAAGATTGCCTAGTTCATCTATTTTAATGGCACCAGTGGAGAGGGAAACTCCTCTATCAAAATGCTTTATGTCAGGTTTGGGAGGAACAACCTTAAAGGTCGTCAAACCCATTTTAGGTTCGTAATTTGTTCCTGAATTCTGGGCGCGATGACACCATGTGGGTGTTGATGGGATTTCTTCTACTTTCTCTTCAGTTTTTTTTGCCAGCGGCCGCTTGATTTCTAATTCTGATTTACTTTTTTTCAGAGGTCTTTCCTTGTTACTACATTCCTTAAATGGATTTTTCTTCTCTTTTGCTGTACTGATTTCAGTTGCGGCCTTGGAGTGAGATGAAACCAGCTTAGATCTATATTCCTCAGACTTCACAGTATGTTTAGGAGGGGGTTCCAGTCTTAAGTTCTTTTCACTTCTTTTTTCAAAGGAAGATGTGAGAGATTCAAACATATCTCTCCTCTGTTCCACAGGCAGGTGATCAAATGCATTTTCAGAAGGTTGCTGATGTATTAAGTCCTTGGATAGACATACAGACCCACCACCTACATGTCCCTTATCAAAGGAACCTGCATTGTTATTTTTATTTGTAAAGTTCCCTGCATTAACAGAGTCAGCTGAAATATTGTCCGAACCCCTTGTCTCTTGACTTCTAACAGACCCAGAGATGTTCACTTCTGCATCGTCATCTATGACTGTTACTGGAACAGGAATGGTAACATCTTGGGCAGCCTCAATTCTTCTCGTACGTGTGCTCAAAACCTCAGGGATATTCTCAGAGTCAGAGCTGCTTATACCATCCATTGCTGCAAAATACATACATAAAAATACATACAGGTAATATTTAGGCAATATCACTTTAAATTACACAAATAGCTTATACAAACTAATCCAAATCAGATATTTCAATTCCACCAAAACTAACAGGAATACATATATATATGTATGCCTGTTTTCCTGTATTACCAAAAAAAAAAAAAAAAAAAAGATCTGGGTCCTTTTGTTGTCTGGTTGCTGATTAGGATCAGCCAAATATTCCTGCAGTCCTCCTGCTTCAGTCAGTGGGAAACGTACAAATGCAGCTGAAAGCAGAATTTAATCTATTGTTCATACCTTATCTTTGACTAACTTCTCTCAGTGATAAACATTTCACCACATGACTCCAAAGGAGAAACATTTCTGAGAAACAGCAAGCAACTCCAAATTATGTTTCCCAGACCTGGTTAGTAATAACAACCCAGCTGAAGGATTTCCTTGAACAAGCAAACAAAGAAACAGTACTTCTATTTTTTCCTCCATTCTTCTCACCCTTCGTTACCAATGACTCCAGAAGCTTCATTGTGCAAGAAGCTTAACTCTTATCTCAAGTTTGCTGGTATAAATTGAGGGTTACGACACAGAAGTTAAAGGAATTGCAGTGTTAAGAGTACTCACAGAAATTACATCAGAATCAAGTCCACTGCAAAAGTACTAAAAAAAAGTATTCAGCATCAGTTGGTGACAAACTATTAAGAGTGAAATATTTTCATTAACAGTAGGCAAAAGAGAAAAATGATACTGCCTTGTGATGATGTTTTATTTCTTTTCTCTGTTTCTGGTCAGTATTTTCAATTTTCAACTTCAAAATACATGGCTGCTAATGCAGAGGAAGCGGGTGGTATAAAAATGCCCCCCCCGCTTCTCCAACTCATTATGACAAAATACAAACCAGAAGTATTATCCATAAAACACACAGCTAAGTTCACTACTGGTTTAGCTTCACTGAAGTCAGTGAAATCATACCAAATTTGACCCACAAAACGTGCCCGTAAACTGCTGCTGTTCATTGCTTTCTGGGAGCGACACTGAAATACAATGACGGGCTGATACAGTAGCCCCCAAAATACTCAGTACTAGCATATAGAGGGTGGCTCGCCCCGGAGGCGACGTGCGGGCAATCTCTTCGTGGGGACCATCCTCTCTCTGCCTCTGAGCCATGAGTTGCTCCCAGTGCAACTTAGTGAGAAACGCGCGGATGTCTCGGAGCACGGTTTGCCTCGGCACCCGCCAGCCACGTCCAGCTCCTCCATACTTGGGAGGTAACCCAGTGCCCTACCTTCCAAATCTTCATCCAGGTCAGCCAGCGCCTGCTGGAGTTGAGCAGCAATGAATGTGTCCTCACCGCCGCGCTTAGCGGATGTACTTTCTTCGTTTCTACTGCTAATTGAAACATGAAGAAAAGGTTAGGTCTCCGTTTTGGCTGCGTGGCGCTGTGCTGAAATACACTCTCATTTCGGCACCTTTGGTCCCACCGGGGTAGGGAAACGCCTTCCTCAAAGTAGGAAAACGTGCAGCCCTAGAGGCACGCGCCGCGCTGACAGGGCCGTATCGAGGAGGGATCTCTGCGGTGCCGAGAACGCTCGTTGCGCTGGTCATCAAAAGATTAGGATTAATAAACCTGGCCTCACGGCGCAGTACACATTTCAGGTGGGCGGCCACAAAGCGCTGTGTGCCAAGGCAAAGAGTTTGCACATCCAGCTAATTTTAAAGCAGACCTCTACCCACCCTGCACGTACCCTGCTGATAAATCTCCACCTTCATTAAATAAAAAACACATGGCATGAAAAATAAAAGCACTTGTGGACTGTTAGACCACCAGTCTTCTTCCTGAGGGGAGGGAAGGGAGGAAAGAGAAATTAATCTCTTCAGAGTTGTTTCTTACGAAACGTATCAAGGCACCTGATTTTGCCAGGAAATAACTCTACGGTTTTCAATGAAGTTGTACAACAACCTAAAACAAGCCTGAAATCAGAATGAGCGGCAAGTGTTTTCTTGGCTTATTAAAAAAAAATGGTGAAACTGAGGAAAAAACTAACAAAATAAGAACTAAAATTAAAAAAAATACACAACAACCTGTTTTACAACAGACCTTCTGTTTTTTAGGAAGAAAGATCTCAACCAGCAGAGCTTTTCTACTGAAATCAAGAAGCCAGGATTTCATGTTGGGAGACTAACTTTTTCCAGTTACTTGCTCCTCACCTGCAGTCAAAACATTTTCATCTCTGACTCTTAAGTTTTGCCCTTGTGATTAGGCTACTGACAACATAATTTTCCATTCTAACCACACCTTAACTAACTCTGATCAGGCAAAGCAGCTTTGCCCTTTTCAAGATGAAGCCCTTCATCTCACAGATGAAGTCAGAGATGATTTTTTGGGGGGGGGGGTCTACTGAACTCGACCTGCAAAACGCTATTTTACTGCTGCCCTTTGAGATAGCCTTCTGAATCAAAATTTAGGGATGTTTCCTGGCATTGACTTAAATAATCTCTAGCAGTGTAGCTTCCTTTTTTGCTATTTCATTGTTATATTTTTCTCTTTCTCACAGTGGGAGTAGCTATAATGACATTTTGAACCACTGAAGTTTTTTTTTTTTTTAATTGCATTGCACTCACTTCTCCTTTCTGTATGCCTTTTATACTTAAATGAACAAACGCACTCCTGGAGCCTGCTTCTTCTCCTACTTGCAGCTAACTCCCTTTAACTTATAAAGGTGAGTTCATGTATGCTAGGTCAATAAAAACTATAAACCACACCTGCAAGGAAATCTTCCAAAACTTGGAAGGCACAAATCAGCCAAAGTCTCCAAAAGAGGCAACAGGTGCTGCAGGACTCTAATCCCACCGTACCCTAAAGTATATGCACACATACACCACCCAATGAGATCACTCATCTGAACAAACCAACAAAAAGATTTAAGCTTACTGCAGCAACGGGATTGGTGTAGAAGTCTGGCAAATAAAACTCTCAACTTGAACGTGGCAGAAAAGAAGCAACTCAACTTTATATTGTTTTTGCAGTGGAAAGTTTTATAAAATTAATGAAAAAATACTAGTTTTCCTATGAATGCATTTTAAAACAACTTATTTGCAAACTTGAAGAAAGTATTTTTGAGAGGAAAATCATTCCAATTCCACACCAGCTAAACACATCTATCCAGTGTGGAAGGAAAATACTGCTCTCTGCTTTGCAAAGGTGGTCTTGGGGGACAGCTGTCCCCAGTTGTAAAGTAAAATATGGATGTGCACTGAAACTAATTCTCAAAGCTGTTGCACAGAAGATGCTTTAGACTATGGTGCTTAAATGACACTTGAGACAACCTTGGAAGAAAAACATGTAAGTCTGTATCTATCAGAGAATGCGACTGAAGTTCATGAAGGCCCTGCCAGCTCACCATCTTGTTTATACCTCAACATATCTTTTTGTCTATTTCACCAGCCTTCTACAATACAGCCAAACTCCGTATTACTAGGATTGTCAGTGTTGCGCTTTCTCCAGGAAATAACAAAACCTATGGGCTTGAGAGTTTTATGGACAATTTATCTAGGAAAACTTGTTTGGGGCTAGAACAGGGATTTCTGGGTTCCAAACATGTCGTATGGGTTCACTGCACTGACCAGCTCTTTCCTCCCTTAAATCAATGGAAATCTTTCATTGACTCCTTAGAGCAAAATTACCTTCTCCCTGATGGGTCCAACAGTCAGCAGAGGTTTCTTTTATTATACACTGCACATGTATGCCGTGACTATACATAATTTGCTTCTCAATCTCTGCTTCAATCTCCTTATCTAGACAATTGGGATAATAATATCCAATTCACATACGTTTTCTGAAGGAAAGAGAACAATGCAGTGAAAATGAAAGGATTCTTATTTTTCTCTTACACAGGGAGCTTCAGAAAAAGTAGACCTTTTCTTGTGCATTTCCAAGTCCCTAAAAGAGCTATTGCTTGATTCATCTCCAAACTCACCTAAAAAGCAAGCCAGCATGTATATTAACCACAGAGCTCTTCCTGAAACCCTTAGCATCAAGAATTCAAAATATACAGGGATACGTGCTTTGTGAGGTGAAGGTCTCGTCGTTTCCAGTAGCTCAAATCATGTATAAACAAACCTAAAAAGACTCCTTCACACAAGAGTATTTGGAAAAGAAAAACAAAAGGGCCTCTAATTTTTTTTTTCAAAGCCTTCTTCCCTTCTAGTCCTATACACTTTTCTTTTGTTGACAGCTCTGTCTTGGCCAGAATCCAAGAAAAATACAAGACTTATTCCGATACCACATTTTACATTCTGGATAAACATCACCAGTGGCATTTTCTCACACACACTTTTTTTGACTTGGGGAAGAACTTGATAACCTTTAGGATGCTTTTCTCGTAAAATACAAGACGCTAAAAATATAGCGCAGGGGAGCATTTAACACAGGCTCGAAAGGGCCAACGTGTATGGTTCCTGGGAGCCTGCTCACTTATTACTTATCTAGATTAGCAGAGATCTGTGCAAGAGCATAGAACTGAGCAGAATGACTACTAAACTACTGCCTTCAGTGCTCCACCAAGCTCAGGCTACAACACACAGTTGCTCCTCTGCAGTCACTCTCTCAGCTGGAGATAAAACGAAACTTAGATCAGTATTTTGTCAAATTAGGGCCATGGGAGACAGCCAGTTATGAGAGAGTTTATATGCTAAGCAAGAGAGGAAAAAACTCTGATAAACCTAGCTGGAAACCTGCGTTAAAAAGAAATCAGAAACAGTTAAAAAGCTATCAGATTTGTAATCAGAGAAGCTGCCATTTTGTTATACTTCAAGCAGTTTTGCAAATGATAAAATTGAACCAAGCCTCTTTGGAAGAGTGAGCATTTTCCAAGAGTTCTGGAAAGCCTCGTGTATAGTACCAGAGGTAGAGAGCCTAACTGCCAGCATAACTGAGAAAATATAGTGCAGAGCTATGTAAACTGCAGTGAAGGGACTGAGGAAGAGATTCAGTTGCCTCAACTCAGGCACTCAGGGCCATCTGAAATCCTGTAGGGTATTCAGGACACCTGTATGGGGCATACTACCTGTATGGTAGACATACTACAGAACACATGGGCGACCCAGGTCCTTCCAGAGTGGCCACAGGCAAGATGAAATGGCAGAAGGCATCTCTCTCCAGGTAACTGAACTTACCCTAGAGTCTTCACTCATTTTGCACCATGTTCACTGTATCAGAAGACTTGAGAACAGGGTTGCTGTAAAATTTTCTCTTAGCTTTGGAGGGCTGACAGAGCCCAGTGTGGAGGGCTGCCTTTGTGGTTAGCATGGATTGGGCTTTGGAGCAGCTGGGCTCCTTTCCCAGCTCTGACAGCGCTCGCAGTCTGGTACTGGGGAATCCTCTCAGCCCTCCTGTACATACCCAAACTCCTCCTCTGCAAAACAGATCCACATTATTCTCCTCTTGCCTAAGCGCTGGATAGAGAAATGCTTCTCACCAGTGTATATCATGGTGGGTGACAGAAAGAGAGTCTGATGCTGAACGTATTTAAATTGAAGAAATTTAAATTGAAAATGCCTAACGGTTGATCCTTTTTGAATATGGCTTTCTATTCAGCCAGGCCAAGTAATCTCAAAGAGTTTATAGATTTGTTTTTGTGACTGATGCAGCAAAGTACTCTCCAAACTGGAGGCAACTATTTTTCAAAAGAGTCAGTAATTTACAAAGCCTTAGGGGCCACTTTTCCAACCTTTTCTTTTTTTAGGCTAGATGACTTTTCCCCTTCCCTTCCCTTTTCCTTTCTCCTTCCTCTCTTCTCTCCACTCCTCTCTTTTCTGTCTTCTGCCTTCTCTTCTCTGCTCTGTTTTCTCTTCCATTTCCTATAATGATTGCAGAACAGCAGCAAGCTATCAGTGGCAGATTTTCTGATCACCTGAGCTATGACCTGACCAACAAGATCCTCTTCTGCTGCCTCCTGTGAACTTCAGGATAAAGTTTTAATGTACTAGTTTCATATGGCCAAAGCCCATTAAAATGCCATATTGTAGACTGTTAACGTACTGGAAAGAGCATCCCACTTAGGACTGGTTAGATAACAAAGTCTTGTCTCTGAAGTAAGACTTCTGCAAGTGGCAAGTAAGCAGGGAAAGGAAAAAGCATAGAGTCATACTCTGTTCGAAGGCCACATAACCTTGCTTTTTCGGTCCTTGAATGAGTGACAAAAGAGAAAGTTGCACATACTTTTTGAGAGCAAGGTACAGATATCATTGTCATACCAAGTTTCTAGTTTGTGTTCTGTTTTGAGTTCTGTCAGATTGCATCATGCTCGCGACAGTCTTGAGATTGCATTTATATCTGCGGTGAATAAGAATCATCACAGACTGAATTAATCTGTTTTCCAGTTTGAGAA